CAGCTAACACCACTAGCTAAGCCCAGGGTACCCAGATCCCTTACTATCCAACCGAGTTGTCTCATTGAAGTATTAAAAACAAATTACACCGATTGAGTACCTACGAGATCTATTAGAATATCACTTGTGAGTTGTCTCACATCGTTTATACATGGAACATCTGCCTAACTTGTAACAACCAATTCGTTTTGGATGAAACCTGACTTGATCATCATCTGGGCTCACCTTGTCATGGAGCGCTTCACGTGCGTGGAACCGCACCTCTTTTTCTCTCGTTTCTTACATGGTATCAGAGTCGGTTCTACGTGAGATCGTGCGATGATGTACCCGCCACCCAACCCAATTGGGCTTTCCCCCTGTTTTTTACGTGGTATCAGAGTCGGTTCTACGTGGAATCGTGTGTGTATAGCTGAAAATACCAAATCATTTTAAGATTTCAAAGATAATATATCAATCGTAAGAAATTTCCAAATAAGTAAAGACAAAAGAAATACCAAATTATAAATAAAAAACTGAAAGAAAAAATAAATGGAAAAAACCAATGAATTGTTATTAAAATCTCGTTTTTAATCTTGTAAATAAATACAAAATTGTAAGTTTTTGTTCATCTCTTTCTTTATTTTTTATTTATATTCGAACTGTTTATTATTTATAAACTTCAATATTTTAAAATATATATATGTCGTACAAAAAATGTATTGAGGTTTTTCATCTTTGTTCCAGTTTTTATCTATCTTCATGTGTTCTTGTTTCTTTCTTAACTACTATGTTCGGAGTAATTTTTATCTATATTCATGTGTTTTTTTATTTCTTTTTTTTTTTTTTTTGGTACAGGGACCTTCTGGTTTCTAGATCCACATGGGAACCGACTAATCCGGAATCGAGCTGGGTAGGACCACAAGGGCGGCAAAGCTCTCCCTCAAGAGTTTTAACACTGCTGCATTCCCAGGGCTCGAACACGAGACCACTGGTTAAACTGGAAGAGACCCAAGCCATCTCATACAAGCGCTTTTGGGTTTTTTTATTTCTTTCTTAAGTACTATGTTTGGAGTCATGAATTGAGAGTTTTTAGATGTTATGAATCCTTAATTGCTAGATTTAATATTTGAGTCCCAAAACTTATAGTTAACCAATCTTCCAAAATTTTGAATTCATAAATTATATATATATTTTACGAAACGATAGGAGTTTTATAAAAAACACATAATTATATCAAATAACCAAAAATAGCCAAGCAGATACCTAGTTGAATCCAGTGAGAGGACAACTCAAAGGGTAACCTATACACCACAACACACTCACGAGAATTAAAAGGTCCGAACTAGGATAATCAACACATGGTTCTCATCAGGGAGAATAAACACAACTTCAAATAGAGAAAAAACACACAAAAATCACAAAACAAACACCACAAACACAACAAAACTCACAACACCAAAACAACAAAAACACACAAGAACAAAAAAAAAAAAAAAAA